AAATAACCATATGGGATAGTGTGTAGTCCTGGGATTGCCTCATATCTGAGGAATCTGTTGGGTTCATTATAGCATTTAATTTCTGGATAGCGTGGGGTTAGTTTTAAATGGGCACGAGGGCACTCCAGGCCATAGATGGGCACTGAAAATCTAGATACAATGCAAGTCCAGAGGAACGGCAGGAAAGATCCCTGCCAACCCACCCCAAGAGGAAAGTTACTCTTGATCTGGATTAGGGCCAGGACTTCTTCGAAGCCTGACTCACGCTCAGGAAAAGTGGTCCCACACGTCAATGCGATTGCTCTCAAAGTGAGAGCAGTATGTGAATCAGATTGCCTGTGAGAAAAGGGCACCCTAATTAATCCTGTGTCTGCATATGAGAACCTCTGTCTGTGTTTGACAGAGCACCCGGTGTTCACACACACATGAATCTCCTACCCCCTGGCTCCTCTGGGGCTTATTTTACAGAAGCATTGTGCCAAAACCCACCAAGCAGCGCCCGGATCCTTCTACAGCACACTTGGCTTCAGAGGAGCCTTGCATTTTCCTCTCATTTTATTTGGTGTCGAGGTAGGTGGTAGAAAAGGGCCTGGCACTGTATGATTAACTCGGCATCCGACAGTTCCCTGCAAAGGCTGTGCCAGGGTGACTTGCAGATCCATGCACTGCATCGCACCGTGGAAGTAGCAAGGGTGTGCATGCATGTGCGTACACGTGCACGCAGAGAAAATCGCCCCGCTGTGCTATATAAAGGAGCCTTATTGAAATGGAATTCAAAAAGCCAAATCAGTCTTGCATTTCACCACCCCCACCAGAAATACACAAAGTTTACCAGCTGGGGGACTGGCCCAGTATAATTACTGAAGTGCTAATTTTACCAGAGATGATGAGAGCACTAGAAGAACATAACCATATAAAGGGAAGCATTACATGCACTTGATCCATAATTATGGATTCTTTTTTTGAGCATGGAAAGCCGTGTCTTGGTTTTGTTCGCTTATTTGCTCTTATTGCTGTTATTTGCAACACAACCAGCGTGAAAAAAAAAAAGGTTGGGGTCGACAATAGTTCTTGATAGAAAAACAACAGTCAGTGCATGTTAATGTATTGCCTGGAGTTTCTATGGATTAAATTGCTCAGTTATGTCTGATGCATCTCTCCTCTTTTCCATCAGAGGAGTCGTGCGCAAGCATCACAAGCGCAGAGGTGCATGGTATCTGTTTATAAAAAGCATCTCTGCCTTTTTTCTGAACCTCTAAAAAGATTTGTGTTCAATTTAAACTTCTGATGAAGCATGAGGACAAATATTACTCCATCCCCCGCAGTTCCTGTTAACTTAAAGAAAGGGTGAAAGCATTAAGAACTACAGGACAGCGAATACCCAAGAAGGAGGGGGTTACCTTGTCCAAAAACACTTGAATCCGATTTTTAAATGCACATACTTTAACTAAGTCCTTGATCCAATTGCACACGGATGTGCAAGTTTAATCATTCGGCCTTTTAAAGGGCTAACACAAAGGACAGAGCAGCCAGTCAAAAATTTACAGATCATTTAAATTTCGACGGGCAAGGATTTTTGCGGGTGGTAACTTTTACTAGAACAACAGCTGTACAGTTGGGAGAGATAGGCAAGCTTTTCGATGGCGTTTTACAGCCATCTATAAGGGTGGCCAATATATTGTTTCTATTATTTTCTGTTAAAGCATTTATACCATCCTCATCATAGTTATAGTATACAAGCACCTTCTAGTGCTTCGTGGAGTGATGTGACTACTAACACCTGGCACATTTACTTCACTTTTTCGTTTACGCTTCCTTCAATGATCAGGGTCATTCACATGTTACCCATAGTCTGTGCCGCATCACAACAGTCTTAATTTCAGACTTGGAGTGCTGAATATCTGTTCTTCCTGGCCCTGGTACTGGAAAGGCACTTTGGCATGTAGTCAGGGGCATTTTTATTTAGGACAGCACTATGCATTCAAATGTTAAGGACAGGCTGGGGTGCAGGTTGTAGCCATGTTGGGCTAAGGACATAAGCAGATAAGGTTCTTTGGGTGAATCTGATTTCTTTTATTAGAGCAACATACTGAAGGTTTATCCATAGAAAGGTTAGTTCCCAATGAAAGCAGAAAGTAGAGTAGATTTGCACCTTTATAGCCTAAATGAAGCAGATTGTATCTCTGATTTAGTTAGTCTGTAAGGTGCACATCTACTCTGCCTTCCCCCTGACTTCAGGCTAAAACAGGTAACTACCTCTCTCCCCCAATAATGGACTATTGTTACACCCGTCCTTGCCGTCAAACCAGTCTGACTCCCGATCTGTGACTCCTTGCAAGGGTTTACACTCATAAATGAATTACAGACCCAGAGCTATTCATGCGAGGTTTTCAGAAGATCATTTTGAACGTGCAACACAGGGCACGAAACTGCAATTGCTTCAAATCTGATCAATTCATAGGAGGAGAAAAGCAAATCCCCCACCCCCTTCTCCACTTCCCTGTAAAAAACCCCCACCAAACTAACCTAAATGACTTCTCTCTTGAGCATAGTCACATATAGAAAAAGCAAAAGCAAATACCAGCCCTTAGAGAATAAAACACGCCACCTCTGTGACTCAGTTTCACAGCCCGCGTAGACAGCAGGTGGGCTGCGATGCCTCCTGCGATCACTACCAGCTGTGGGCTAGAGCAAGTGCAACTTTCTAAGAATTTCCTTGTTGATTTTCCTTGTATATTTGATAAGAAAATGGCATAATCCTTTCCCCTCCGTGTTTGCTTAATAGGATTTGGGCATTAGCTCAAATAATATCAGAGGATCAAAGCCAACTTTGAAAGTATTAGGGAGATTACAAAGCAAAGGCTGGATTCTGCCTGCATGTAGAGTAGCCCCAGGAAAGGCATTCCCCCTGCAATCCCCGGTGCAGAGCGGGAGAGCGCCTGCGACCGCAGCTCATCTGTGCAGGACTACAGCTCCTCCAAGCCCCGACTCTGCAATTCTTCTTGAACCCTGCATGCATAAAAAACCAAGTGAAAAATCCTTATTCCCTCCCCTCCCCGCAACACAAAAACACCAAGATAAGGACCAAGCAGAATCTGGCCCCAAAGCACCGAGCAGAAAGGAAGCTGAACAACCCAGAAATACAAGTGCGGAGGAAAGGGAAAGGTGACGTTTATTTACTGAAGTTGATTTCCTCGCAGTCCATATTTTTCTCTCACCCCAGGGCCGTTTCGTGGCGTGGGTGACCTTTACAAGGCCTGGAGCAGATAATCAATCAAATGGATCCCAAGGAGTTCACCAAAACATTTGGACCCACTGGTTTTGGTTAGGTGGTGAGTGAAATGCAGGAGGGAGGGCCTATTTGTTTCATCCACTTGACTCCTCATCTGTACAGGAGCTTCATTTGATCAGAATCGACCGGATCTCAAAAGCAGCCACAGCAAAAGCATTCAAATTCCTTGTCCTCTCATCATCCCTCCCACCATCACCATGCTGCTTGGGTGAGCATATGTCCCATATAACCCAGGGAGCCCAAGCTACTGATATGTTGCTAGACTTAGAAAAGCACATGTTGCTCGACTTACAAAAGCACATTGGATGCAGATCCTTAGCCTACCCCACTGAAGGCAATAATGGGCCTATTTTCCTTTCTCCCAGACAGATCTGTGGCACATCTCTTAATGAAGCTATTGACATTTGTGACAAGGGAAGTTTTTCATCCTTCTATAGCAATAGGAAAAGATCTGGACTGTAATGATCACTATACATACCGGGTTGATATACCTGCTTTGAAAAAGGACAATAATGGATATTTTAAATTACTTTAAAGCCCGGGAGTATAAGCAGCTTCTTAGAAAAATATTATTCTCCTACAGATTGGATAAAGGACACCGAGGCAGATTTGATTAATTTTTTAAAGGAAACAAATATTTCTTAAAAAACATTTTTTTTTTAAGAAAACAGAAACGTGCCTCTTCTTCTGTTTAAAACCCTGATGTTTTTCATCCTAGCTCCAACAGGTATTAATTGTATTCTGCAGGTGACAAGAGTGACCTAAAAGGCAGAGGCCATGGACAACAATACAGCAATTTCTGATGGGATCTGGTAGATGGAGGATCAGGTTCTGCACAGAACAATGTTAGTCGTGGTTCAGATCCTGGGGTAAAGCATTGACTACAGTAGATGTAGGTCCACAGATGGAAAATGAATTAGAGAATTGCTGTGTGGACAATGCAATGCAGTGAAACAGCATAGGGTTTGAACTTTGATTTGTTTCACTCCTGAACCAATTTTTGGCCCCAACAGAATCAAGTATCGTAGCAAAAAATTGATCAGACAAATCAATCAATCAATCAGTAGAAGCAGGATTTGACCGCATAAATGAGATGCATTTGAAATGCAAATAATTTTGCTTTTTGGGACCGTCAAGGGTCCCACATGCGAGTGAGCCTGCCGAAGCTGAAACAACTACAGAAAACTAAGTCGCAGCCCTGCAGATGGTACAGGGAAGCAAAGGGCCATGCATACTGCCTTCATCTTGCAGAGAAAAACAGAGCAATTGCTGTATATTTCCATCACGGTTTGGTGTTTATTCTCTCCCCAACCACTCCCTTTCCCACTGGAACTTGTCCGCGTGTTTGCCCACAATAACATATTCATGTAATGAGAGAGGCCAATGCAGACTCCCAATACCTCAGACCTTCCCAATCAAGAAGAATTTCAGAGCTTTTGGTGAGGTGATGCAGGGCAGGAGGGAGGAAAAAGTCTCTTTACCTGCAAGGCTTTCTGCCCTTGAAGATCTCGTCCCCATGTACAAGGATCAACCAAACAAGCTGTAATAAATCACTTTGCAATCTCCGAACGTCTCAATCATGCCAGCAATGTTGGCATCACACCCCCATCTCCTCATTTTGATTGCTTTCCGAGCTGCATGTGGCTCAGCTACAATGAACTAGCGAGAGCCCACCAACCAGCACCCGAAGGTTGACTCACTCGATGGCCTTTCTGCTTGTATTCAATATTTACATAAGAAAAAGCTCGCGTATGAGAAAAATAAATAATAATAATAATAAGAAGAAGAAAAGACTCTTACCCTGGGCTGTTCCACTGGGCATGAACCTGTCATTATTTTACTAAATGGTCTAAATAATGGAGGTTGTAAGGAAGAGAATGAAAGTGTGGTCACACATTTTGTCGTGGAGTAAATTGCTGGCTCTTAACCCTTTTCCTTCCAGGAATTGTCAAGTTCCCTCTGCCAGCTCCATGTGTTGTTCTCACCACTCGGGTGAGTGTTATTAACCACTAACTCCCTTTCCCTTGAGATATACAAAGAATGCAGATTAGGAAACATAATTAGCCGACTTTGCAGTAAATGGGAAAGTGTTAGTCTTTATTAACCTTTAACATGCTGGGCCTGGGTTTGCTTTACCCCAAGGTTTGTTACATAGGCAAAGCAGTCATCTTGGTGTAAATGTGCACAAGGACCTCTCTGAACAGGGACCGTTTAAAGGGACCTTTCATCTCTTCCAGTCCCATTGCCCTGATACTTTAGTCTTTCTGGCAAGAGAGTGGATTCGAGGAGAGAGATGATTCAGGACTGTTAGCACCCCTGCATTTAGTAGGGTTGGACAATTTGGTAGTAAAAGATCTAACCTTTATTGCTATGGGAGCTGAACATATGGTGAATTAAAATGTCCTAAGTTGCCAGTTCAGGCCTCTCAGTTCTGATCAGAATCAGGGAAGTCAGCAGGAGTGTATCTTTCAAAACTGGATTAAGAAAAAAATAGCAGAGAGAGTAGATGACCTCCAAAATCTCTTTCAACTCCAAATGATGCTCAACGACCCTTAGGGATGAAGGTAGCTGAGCCAACATGAAGGCAACATCACTACTGAATAAAGAGCGTGTGGATATGCCGTCTGCCATTCCAGGGGATTATGCCAGGGACAGCCCCGGGAAAAATGCAAGCTACATACTGAATGACAGCTTTTTAATTTTCTACAGTCTTGATCCTCTCAGATAATGAGCAACTTCTGAGTGGAAAGGGAGCTCACTTCTAGGGGAAGGTATTTCAGCTTTTCCTAGGAGCAAGATCTAAAATGTGTGGGTGCAAATGGACCACAGACATTACGTATTTGATAGTTATAGGGACATATTCCATATGGTATTGAAAGGACATTCCTGTTTATCCTGTATACGGCCATCGTGGGGAGGCTCGTGTTAGCCCTAGATCTTTCCCTCATTATTTCAAGCGTTCTTCATCTGTTTGTTGAAATCAGTCTGTTTTGCCCAGGTTTGGCATGCAGATGGAAGAAAGGCAAGGCTACATTTTACTGTTCTAAAATGAAATGCTTGCAGCCTCCCAAAAAATCCAGGTCATGAAGAGGAAAGAGCTAGAGCGAGAAAGAACAACTTTGTGAACTGCAGTAGGAATATTTACTCTCTCTCCATTTTTGTCTGACGGACAGTCAAGATAAATACCCAGTCTGTCGGTGTCCGTGCATGAGTTTATTCAATGTGCTTGCAAAATATGCAATGTGTTTGTTCACTTTCTCAAGCACCTCATCAAAAATCTATTTACCTGTAACTCCTGGCATTTGTCAATGGTTTTTACCTATTTCTATAGCTCTGGAGTCATTAAAACCTGTATCATTTGCCCTATTTATATAGCTCTGGAGTCATTTAAACTTCCACTTGCCACTCCTTGTGCAATGTGTGCACAAAGGAACTGATATGATAGTGATAATGTTGCACAAGTGTCTGGCTCTCAACTTCCCCTGCCTGACCTTTGGCCACGTGGCTTCTGCAGACACCGGGTTTTACTGCCATCAGTTTTTTTCTTTCTTTTTTTTTTTTTTTTTTTTTACAGACTACGTTGGGAAGACTCCTCACCACTTTTGGAGAATGTGCTGCTAAGATGCAACACTCCTGCAATGGAGATAAATGGCAAGAAAGAATGAACCCCATTCAAGGTCCTCTCATAAAAACCTCTAATGGGGTCTACAAGAAGGAAATAGGAGACATGCCT